CCACTTTAACCCTCAACAAACTTATCGAAGCAGAAAGCGGATTGTCTGTCCTAACATTATTATATACGGTTCGGAGACATATATCTCTTTGGAGAAAACCGATGCCTGGGTGTTCATGACATTGATAATAACAATAATATTCATTCACCATTAGTGATACGTTTATGGCAATATATAATGGAGATTTTTTGAAATGAAGGGACCCTCAGAGCAGTAGCATGGCGAGTATCATGACCGTGAATGCTCAAGTTCGTTATGTACAAGTCAGGGTTCCTGTGCACAAAAATGACACATTTCATTATATAAATTGCGGGTGCAGTCAACAAGCATTCTCTTTTGAAAACGCGTCTACAACTTTCTTGGTACCCCAGGTTGAATATCAATCTTATCAGTCGTTTTTGAGAGATGAAAACTCTAGAAAATTCCTCCGCACATCCCCAAGCCATTATGTTGAAACTGATGTGGGAGGATGCATTCGCAAACATTTAGTAAACAAAACCTATCTGAACAATGTTTTAACTGTTTGATCGAATAATAAGCGGAATTGAGTTTAGTGCACACTCTTTGTATGTGACTACTCCAGGTGAGATTCTCATCTAAATTATTTCCAAGAAAATCAACTTCTTTTAATATTTTTATGTCATTCGCAGTGACTAAATTACAACAGAAATCCCTCCTAACAAATGTTTTCATCAGCACTGACTTAGATTTATTTAAAATCAGTTTGTTACGTTGACACCAACTACTGAATTCGTCAATAACTAAATTAATTTGCATTGATAATTCATTCTCGCTTTTTTTTCCAGAAACAGTGATTGTAGTACCGTCAGCGTACATAGTTGTGTGACAATCTGATATGAATTCAGGCAAGTCATTGATAAAGGTCAAGAATAACAATGGACCCAGAACAGATCCTTGTGGAATGCCTAGTTTCACATCATAAGGAACTGATGTAATTCCATTACATTTACCCACCAAACTACGGTTTTCCATGTACGATGGAAAATGTTGTACTCTTCTTTTTTTCCAATAAGTCGTTGAAATACAATAAAAAGGGAGTTGGAGACAATATGGATCCCTGGGGAACACAAGCGTTGATGGTAAAATTATTCGAGGGATATCCATCGACGTCCACTTGCAGGGAACGTTTTTCAGGAAGCTGGAGAGCCATACACAAAATAGAACCTAACCTAACCTAACCTAACCTAACCTAACCTAACCATAGCATCAAAGTTTGGCCAGCAAACCGTCATGCCACACACGCCCAAAGTCTTTAGAAATATCAAGCACATCAGCTTTTAACTCTCGAGTTTCTCGATTGCATTATTTCAAATATGCGTGCCATATGGTAGATAGTCACCTGTTGATCTTTGTTTCTGTAATGTTCCGAGGTTCATCTACTGCTTGTTTTATCAAACTTTTTATAATCACTTTCCAAAGCGGTGATAATTTAACGTTATATTCTTTCTTATTGTCAACAGTATATGTCGATCGCACATTGAATACTGAGGCATGCGAAGTGAGGAGAGTTAGCGCTGTGTGTTAGAGTAAGGAGAAGGTAAAGCCAGACATACTGGCGCCGTTAGGCGTTACGTTACCAAGTGGCTTCACTTCAAAAGCCCTCTTGAATTACGCGAATGAAACAATACTTTGGAGACAACTACTTTCAAAACATTGAATTATACGAAAAAGTCAAAACCTTTATTTTTCGTCTTTCCCAAAAATTAATCTCTCTTGAAAAAATACCTCTTTCAAATTAAATCAAATCTACATGTTCTAACTTTTTACTTCCTCGGGTCTCATTCGAGGTTGGAAAAAATTGTCGAAAGTAGTAGCACAGGATGATTTTATCAATAAATTTTCAAAAAATGTGTTGAAAGTACAATTATTTATCAGAGACAAGATATTCAAATATTTGAACAAAGTACGTAAATGACTGAACTCTTATTTTCCAACAATGGGTTTTCATTGTGAAATCTATCGTACCTCGACATGAGACCTCAAAGCCGGCACCCGACTCACTTGACGCGGTTTCGCGTCAAATAAATTTCGATTGATACATTGGATTATAATGGTAGTTTTTAAACTACTTTCAAAAAACATTTTTGATTGAAGTTTTTATTAATTCCTTTCTATATTTTCTAAACAAAATCATCTTCTACCAACACCTAGCATACTCAATTTGAAGAAAATTGTAGCACTACATTACAACGATTTTTTTCTGTGAAAATTGAAGGCGTAGTAACTGCTGGAATGAGTATAGGTGTAGACTCTTTACTCATTTGTTGAATAAGTTTTTCTATGCCTTCCATTCTCCTATTATTATTTTCGAGATTTTCAATCAGCTTATTTAAGGCGTTGTAACTGCTGGAATGAGTATAGGTATAGACTCTTTTGTTGAATAAGTTTTTCTATGCCTTCCATTCTCCTATTATTATCTTCGAGATTTTCAATCAGCTTATTCCAAAGAATCTCTAGCTTGTTCACCTTTTCTATAACACTACCTTCTGCTGGAGATTCCTTAGATTTTCCCGATTATTGATTTTGCAAAGAAGTTCTGTAAAATCAAAGTCTTGGGAATTTATCATTCCAGGATACTCCTTAAGAATTTCACACTCCTGCATTATTTTCACCAGGATTGACATTGAAATATTCAAGTAGGTTTACTAACTGCTCTCGCGAAAGGTTTTGAAATAACTTGAACATGGTTTTATCAAATGCGTAATAACTATTTACTTCTTGGGGTCACCAATTGCAGTTGAAAAAACGTTTTTGATTGAAGTTTTTTTCTAATTCTTTTCTATATTTTCTGAACAAAATCATCTTCTAGCAACACCTGGCATACTCCATTTGAAGGAAATTGTAGGGCACTACATAAGTTTATTTTCGTGAGGTTATATGTATCAACGAAGTATGGTAATTCAACTTTCATTTCGATTTAATTATCTGTTCATTGTATTGGTGAATTTTTATCGATTTACATGTTCATTTGTGTCATCTCAGTAAAGTTAGGGGTTTAATCAATGTCATAATTTTCTGTAAAATCATTCATGCAAAGTTTCAATATGTAATGTCAGTTATACTTATTCTTTGTATTGGTGAGATTTATTTTGCGTCATTGTTTTACCTTGAAAACTCTTTCTATATAGTACCAGAAGAGAAGCTCAAGAACGTATCTATGTGAGGATGGAAAAATGTATGTATGTATGTATGTTTTTGGCTCTTTCACTCCTAAACGACTGAACGGATTTAGATGAAACTTTACATAAATGCAGCTTATACATCAGAATTTCATATATGCTACAATTTTCAAAGGTTTTGTGTAATTTTGGTCCACTCCCAAGAAAGAAATATGGGGGATCAAAGATTGTATTGAATTTCTTCAGTTTTAAAGTTGAAAATATAAAGTTTTGAGATAATAAAAAAAATTGTGGTCTCAGCCACCAAATTCACCAGATTTGACCTTCTGCGACTTTTTCCAGTTCCCAAGATTGAAGAGACTCATGAAAGGACTGTGTTTTGCGACTATGTATGTTCTCAAATGTTAGTAGTGGCCTATGATAACAGTAAAGATAAACATATGTCATTATACAGGTGTACTGATTCCATAATCTATCCAACAATGACGAGAATCCTCCGAAGTGATAGGCAATTAATTTTCGATTATCCAAAACTGCAACCCCTCTACCACAACACACCTCTAATTGCGGTCTCGTCTCTACTTTAATCAGTAGAAAAGCCTGAAATAACAATAAGCAAAGAGCTTTTGAACGGTTCACAGAGTCATGGTGTTCATTGGCGTGAACAGTAATCGTAAGAATAGAAATAGTTTTAATATGTGGTGAGAATACACCATACCGGCAAGTAGCTAACATTTTTAATGAACGGTATCCAGGAAAAAATGTTCAACATACTACTGTGTCAAGGATGTCGAAATTCAGAGAAACAGGATCCGTAGCAAATCATTTTGAGAAAAAGCACACTCAAAGTAAATATGATGAGGAGGCCCAACTTAACATTTGTTTAAAAGTTATTGAACACGGGCAAACGAGAATAACCGATATTATAAGAAATACCGAATACAAGAGAGAAAGTGTTAGAAAAATTTCATTAAAGAATAAATTTTGGCCTTACAAGCCAAAATTTATTAACACGTTAAAAGAACGAGATTTTGATGTCCGTTTGGGGTTTTATTCTGGTGAGAGAAGAAAATATAAAGTTTCCGTATAAAATTTTATGGACAGATGAGGCAACGTTCTCTTCAACGTTACTCAAATTAAGTGTAAAATGAAACGTTACAGGACTGCTGATTATTGGTTCGTTGATAGATTCTCTAGAAGGAACTATCGATTCTTCTGAGACCAAATCGTTGGACAGTTGTGCATCGCAGGACCTCACGGAAACTTTCCCGCTGCGTTTACGGAAGTTTTGGCTCATCTCGTGGAATATTGGTCATGTCTGCAGCCAAATAATCCACATCAGAAAATAAATGTCTATCAAATGGGTAAATTCCTGTGCAGTTAAACCCAGACGTACCACAAATCTTGAAGATAATTTCTTATCCATTTTCCATCGATGAACATTTGAACATTTATATTTCCTTTTCCGAGAGCATTCATACTCTGGCCATTACCAATAATAACTGACTGGGAAACTGGGAAGTTTTCGAAAGTGGAAAACCAATTTCGGTGCATGGTCATATGTTGAGTGGTACCTGAATCTGCAATCCAAGTAACGTTTGGATGTAGTTCTAACTGAAAAGGTCGTGAAATGAATGCTGAACCTTGTACTGAAGTACCATTCGTTTTGATATCTTTGGTACAGTCTTTCTTTAAATTTCCTCCATGACCACATCGATAACATTTCGGAGTAAACTTCTTCTTCGCGTTATCTTTCTTGTACAGGGTTGATGTTATTGGTGGGGATCAATCTTGAACTCTCTTCGATACTACTAATGCTGTTTTAGTGGAAGTATCGTTAGTTTCTTCTCGTTCTTGAAGTCACATTTCCACGGTGTCCCCCTTAGGGACAGACTCCCATGCATTTAGGAATTCAAAATAATCTTGAGGCAAAGTATTGAGTACTCTATTGATGAATAACGACTCCGGCAACTTCACTTTGTCCTCTTTCCAAGTATCGTCTTGAAGTTCTATCCAAAACTTTTCGAGTTTTGCCATGTGTTTAGCTATGCTTTCTAGGGGATCCTTATCTCTGATTCCAAAGAACTTGTTGAATAGTATGTCTTGTCTTTGTTCCGTTCTTTGCTCAAAGGTACTTAAAAGCTTATCCCACATCTCCTTTGAACTATAACACATGTTTATCAGCTGCCTGACTTGCGAACTCAGACTAGAAACAATGGGATTTTGGGCTGTGTAATCAATTTTGTTTGCAGACTGCATCAAAGATTTGTATGTTTCTGTTACATCCTTACCTGTTGTCTCTGCTGGTTTGACTGGAGATTCATCTGTGCCCAAAACAGCATGCCATGCGTTGTATGCGTGCAGCTGGATTTCGATTTGAAATTTCCAATCAAGCCTATTGGATTGCCCTTCCAATTTGTCGATCAACACTTTCGGAATCTCCATCTTCTACAGTGTTCGAGGAACTATGTAACCTCTTGTAGATTATACTTGAAACTGTGGATCGTAGTGAAATAGCAAAGTTGAAGTAGAACTTTAATAAACTTAAGGAATACAAATATATACGTGACAAACTTTGAATTGAAAATAATTGACAAACTAAACTTTTCAATAGCAACATTTAGCGACCACATAAAACTATACAGGATGACTATAACCTGCAATTCAGTTCATATTCCAACACATACAATTTATGAAAACTTGCCATTAATATCGATCGAGTGCTTCTAGTTTGAACATTCCCTTTTTCATCTACGCCTTTGTCATGTTTGGTTCTGCTATGTGTGTGTTTGTGTGCGGAGGAAGGTTGATAAAGCGCACAGCGTGATCAGGGAGACCGTGTAGGCGGTCTGTCGATCAATAAAACACAGAAGCGCGAAGGACATGCGAGACGAGAGAGAGCTACATCGAGGAAAAACGATCCTCTCTCGAAAGGTGGAGTACATTTGCACCAGTGGTCGGAAGTATCAAGACTGAATAGTTCGACCGTTGGTGAGAAAATTGTGGTATGTTCATCTTACTTTGATGTATTTCATCTGCTCCAAGACGGAGAATGAGTAACTCCAATGAATTTAGCGATAGAGCTACAGCTGTTTCGTTTTACACAATTTATTTCTGCCTTTTATTTGAGACATAATTTGATCTTCTTTCAAGACTTCCACGTAGGCAGGTAGGCAGGTTTCCCAGTGGATATGACCTTATGGAATAAAGCAGAATGCAGTGTGCGCCTAGCATCCATGATCAGCCACCCGAGTTGTTCCAAGTATTGAGACACATGCTCACGTCTCCTTACGCCTGTGACACGAGTCTTATGCACGAATTCCGCGGTTTTTGAAGTCTCTGCCTGTCAGATTTCAAGAGTCCTGGACCATAAACAGTATCAGCATAGTTAGCATGAAATACTACCAGTGAGTCGCAAAGTTATATTTAATTTTTTAGTAGTAGAAAGCCAAAAACTTTCTTTCCCAAAAATTAATCACTCCTAAAAAATATAACCCCTTCAATTCAAATTCTTATTTTTATTTTCACAGATCTGGGATTTTTCTGAGCAGTCTTCGGTAGCGCTACCCAATAAATATAAATCGGAATATTGACATTCATAAGCCATATTATTTGTTTAATTTTTTTACGTGTCACGGTTAGGTATGCAAATAGACGTCAGATAAATCGTCTTTTTCTTTTGTACAATTACAGAATCCATTTTCAAAGAGTAATTAAGTCAGGGAATTCATTTTTATCGTATAAGATCAAATTAGAAGTTAGACAGAGAGAGAGAGAGATATTTTGTCATTCTTAGAATCGGTGGAATTTGTTTATATGTCTATTTTATTAGGTGAGTGAAGAGTTTGAACTTTAAACTGGTACCGATTTGATGTAGATAGAATTAAATTGTGAAACGGTCTTTCTGTGCTTGGCTTTCTAAGTGACAACGTCTGGTGGTGACAAAATAATTATAAAATTTTGATACTCATCCATATAACCGGATTTCAAATATAAAGGTAATTATGGGTTGTAAATTGAATAGGGATGATAGTGAATAATGCTGTGAATTGAAGCTAACCGTTTTTTTATTCTAGTTCTGCCAAGTTAAATTGAATCGGAAAACTGAAACTTAAAAAGTGAAACAGAAACATAAAAAACCGAATCAAATTCGGTAAAATTAAAACTGAAACAAAAAAGTAAAATTAAAATTGAAAGTGATACATAAAAAACTGAACCTAACATTTAGGCAAAACTGAGGCGTAGTAAATTATAAAAACTATGGAGAGGACGAGACCACAACTGGTTGAGATAGGAGCACCACTATTGAGAGTTGGGGGAGTGTGGAGATCTACCGGAGACTGCCAGAATCCTGGATCACCTGATCAGAGTGTCGGAGTGGAAGATTGCCAGTCATTGGTTTTGAGTTATATTGATGATTTCAAAGAATATGATTTCCATATGATATTGTTAAGTTTAATGCATTAAACCCTTTGGTAAGTTCTTATATTTATTAAAATTCTTATCGAGGCCATCATCGGATAAAAAACTCATTCTGAACCACCGACAATCTGGTTCATTCGTAGAAGAATCAGTCCCTTTTTTATATTTACTTTATTGAATTTTTACAACGTTTTTTTCCTTGTTTTTTTTTGGTAGTCTGGAAGTGTCTCATATTCCTGTGTAGCAACGTTGATTTACAGTAACGAGTATTGAAAAGGGTGCCCTATTTCTATACAATTCTGTAGATGGCACCCATTTAAGGACTTGGTTTTGATAACCCTTTTCAGCACCCAGCATTGACCTTCTATAAAGAATATAAGAGACGAACCACGCTCTTGCCTCCGCATCATCCACAGCTAGTCGTGGCACTTGTATCGTTATCTTGTTCTGAATTCAGAAAAGAGTGAGGTAACGTTACAAAATTGGCGCCCAACGTGGGGCGCCAATTCAGAGTCATATAACCCTTCCTAAGAATCTGAGAAACATGTGTAATGAAACGCAGAGAATTATCGAGATAAAGGCCTAAATTTTTCGTGTCGTCACTTTTTGGTAATTGAACCCCAAATGTGGATTATTTCAATGGAGCAAAATTAATTGATGATCGCGTATGCAATTTCAGAAAGTGATTGAAACGAAAAAAGTCCAAACTGCAAGGCATGAAAACATATTTTCTTGAGTCTCCATTCAAATTTGGAAGAGTGACAAAACTTAAAGTGATGAGAGTTTTAAATGGAGACCAAAGTATGTCTCGAATAATAGGCAGAAAGAAATTGTGAAAAATTCAAAATAAATTAAATTTCTGCTGAAAAACGAAACAGGAAATAGTTCTAGCTCTGAAATGATGAATGTCTTATTCTCATCATCATTGTTTCACCTAAAAAGAGGTTGTTGGTCAGACTCTGTACCCGAAGCTCCAACACATTGGAGGCCCTACCAACATCTTCAACCAATGAACAGTCTCCATAGTCGTAAAGCAGGTAATCATTGGGCCCAAGAATCATATGCTTCGAGGAAACTCAGCAAAAAAACTGATAGCCTCTGCATTTGTCCGGCTGAGATTTCTGCCGTTTTGGGGCGAGCCGGTAAGATCTTTTCAATATTTTTTATTGTACCCGAAGCCCAGATATAGGTATTCCGCAGGTGAGCCAGTATAATCAACCAATGGTCACTCCCCACATCGTCAGCTATGTAATCGTTGGGCCCAAGAATCATAAGCCCTGAGCAGACGTAATGAGTCAATAATGACAGAAGCCTTCTTGCATTTGTCGGGCGTGGGTTTCTGCCTCACTGCAGTGAGGCGGCATGTCCTTGAGGTCCGAGAATGAAAAGGGCAGCATTCTTTTAAACAATCCAGAGTCTGTGGATGTCAAAAATAGATTTAAATTTTTCATCCCTTTTTGTCTCTTCTCGGACATTATTTGTCCCTCCTGGAGTTGAAAACTCAATGACCAATATCTTCTCACTTTGATGGTCGAGGAGGAGCTTCAGCAGCCTATATTAGGCCGATGGTGGGTGATGTATAATTTCAAACACTCGACAATCCTCTTTCTTCATAACGAATTCAGTATCTCCAGGAGCATAAAGTAACACTGGTGTCTCGTGAATAATCTCCAGCGATTCAAAACAATGAGCGACTCAAGGGTTTTCCTACATTGCTTGTGTTTGGTCATTGAAAAATTGAAAAAAAAGCGTTCATTTCATCTCGTATGAATTTAGTTCTGAAGCTGACTACTCCGATAAGCACCCATATGTTCGTCAGTGTGAGTTGGATGCATGTTGTAGTGCGAGCTGAGCTGAAATTCTCTAAATTTGCTGGTGAATAAAAACTTTGAAGGTGATTAACAAGTAAAAAACCTGTCAGTGGAGAGCGAAACCCCAATACTTCCTTATTCCCCGTATTCGTGTATCTGGCTCTGGCATGTTTGAAACTCCCGAGCAGCGATGCGAACGCAAACACATTTATTTTTAGTTGGTCGTAATTCCAGAATCTTTGAAGTTAGTTAACAACCCACATTCGCTATTAGTCACGCTACGAAAAGTGTGGTTATTAAATGTGTGAAGTGGGAATCATGAATCAAAGCTGTCAGATTCAAGAATTCACCCTGAATTCCATTTAAATTTTTGGAAAACGGAAAATTTCTAATGGATGATGATATTGAAATACTTCCCCAAGAATAGATATGATTGGGATAAATGGATAACAAACACATTAAATAAATTACTTCATTCTGAAATTTCCACCTAGCAGTTGACAGAATTGCAACACTTGTTTCACTTTTCACTTCTTCAGGCTTCTTCAGGCCTGTTCATACTAATTAAACCGTTATTTTTAACATTTCGACACGTGTTTCGATCACCAAGTGATCATCTTCAAGAGATTTAAAACTTGAGAGCTCCTCGTTTGCAACATACATGAGATAATTAATGATATTATCGCTATGTTACTGAAAAAGTTGTTCATATCAGATAATTCGATTGTTGGTTTTAAATCGAATTTATTTCTCTCAAAATTAATTATTTTCCAGCAAGCTTTTGATTTATTATTAACAAATTTTCATTGATAATTCATTCTCGTTTTTTTTCCAGAAACAGTGATTGTAGTATTGTCAGCGTACATAGTTGTGTGACAATCTGATATGAATTCAGGCAAGTCATTGATAAAGGTCAAGAATAACAATGGACCCAGAACAGATTCTTGTGGAATACCTAGTTTCACATCATAAGGAACTGATGTAATTCCATTACATTTAACCACCAGACTACGGTTTTCCATGTACGATGGAATATGTAGGACTCTTCTTTTTTTACAATAAGTCTTTGAAATACAATAAAAAGGGAGTTGGAGACAATATGGATCCCTGGGGAACACAAGCATTGATGGTAAAATTATTCGAGGGATATCCATCGACGTCCAATTGCAGGAACGTTTTTCAGGAAGCTGGAGAGCCATACACAAAATAGAT